TACTAAAATTACCAAATCTATTGAAGCCTATCGAAGAAAGACGTGATCATGCTATATCATGCATAGCAGACCCTAGAACGTTTATGCCAGGTCCAAAGTCGAATATGATGATATGAACTTGATTTGCACCAAAAACAACATTTTCAAACATTAACATTACACTAAAGTAGTATCGTCAGATAATATACCACTGGTTTGCACCAAAAACAAAATTTTCACAACATGTAGAGTAAATAAAACTGAAATCATTGTCTACCATTAGATAAGCGTGTGGACTAATATGGATTTTATAGGTTTTTATTTCAATTGATTAGTAGTGATTATGTTATCTCTAACGCCTGTAAACACGATACTTGATCTTCATGCAACAGTAGCCTGACTTGAGCTTAAGGTTAGAACTCTACATGAATCGATTAAAAGTGAGAAAAACAAAGGAATCCCTCGATAACTCCCTTCAAAATCGTGGATTAAGAGGCATGCCATTTGGTTACCGAAGGAAGGATCATATCCTTAGATAGATAGCATCTAGGTTTTTTTAGGTAAGGGCCCAAGGCCCTTGTACTCGCCAAGGACAATTATGCCTTGTAGGCTTCATTTCCTTCTCCAACGTCTTGTTCCAAAGTTTTAGCAAAGAAAAGAAAAGAAGGGAAAGAAAGTAACGAGAGAAAAAAAGATAACAAAAAGGGCAAGAAAATTATACTTTGTGTTCCCAAGTCAGAAAAAAGTGAAAGGAAAATTAAACATTTTGTTACTTTTTCTCAAAATCGTTCCAATTAGAAGGAAAGTTAGGAGGGAAAAGTTTTCTTTCAATTTCCGTGTAAGGAAATCGAGATTGACTTTTTCAAGGCTAATTTATTAGCCTTGAAAAAGTCAATCTCGATTTCCTTACACGGAAATTGAAAGAAAACTTTTCCCTCCTAACTAGGGGTGTTCATAAAACCTTACAAACCGTATAAACCGCCACACCACACTGCATAATGCGGTTTTCAATGTTCGCGGTGCGGTTCGTGGTTTGTAGTTTTTGTAAACCACAATATGTGGTGCGGTTTGTGGTTTATGCTTACGTAAATGCAGTTCAAACCGCACTAAATTATATATATATATATATATATATATATATATATATATATATATATATATATATATATGTGTGTGTGTGTGTGTTTGTGTTATGTTCAACAAATTCTAACAAATGCAAAATCATAGCAGATTGGTCACTAAACAATGGGACAGTATACAACCATTGTTTCAGTTATAACATATTCTAACCCATTTTTGTCTATTTATAAAGATACTTGACAAATTAGGTATCAAAACTATATTGATTATATTAAATCAATATCTTTTGAAGAATAAAATTAAATTTATCATGGGAAAATATATTTAATTGAGTGCAAACTCAATTTTGGATTTAGCTGGCACATAACTTTCATTTTCACAATGGGCTATTAAAATTGGTGGGAAAAATACATTAATATATATCAAATTAATAACGATGTTAGGGATATTAAAACAATCGTCTACCACAGTTATATACAAATCCTTATTCGTTATATGATATAAAAAATCATTTAACGTAGTTACATACTAATGCTTATAAAACTTGAATACACAATAATTTTAATTATTCACTAAACCGCACCAAAACCGCCCGCACCAAACCAAACTGCACCGTACCTCATAACGTGGTTTATAACCTTAATGGTGCCGCTTGCAGTTTCCAAAAATCTCAAACTGCACATGTGGTTTGCTGTTTTGATTCTAAACCGCACTAAATCGCACCGCGCACACCACTAGCTAATATATTATTCTGATTAATTCTTATTTGTTTCTTTAAACGTTTCAATCTTATTACCGATGATAAAAAAGTCGATCAATAATAGATAATAACCATATTGTTCGCCCAATTTCCCTTATTATACGACCTAATTAAGATCAACTAAAAAAGCTAGCAGTACAATTAGTATGTTATGATGATGCACATTTAGTTTATGGTACTCTACTATTCTTATTTGTAATGTAAACCATTATGCCTTTGGAAAGGGTCGTATTGAAACTATCATATAATTATAATTCAGCCCCTCTAGTTTAATTAATTACATATGATCACAAAATTAATTCTTAATTAACTATTGACCAATATTAATTAAACACACATGATTTCTCTTTTAATATATCATTCTTATAATATATTAATAAACCATAATAACCTCTTTCTCTAGTATTTCTCCAATCAAGTTGCTTTGGTGAAGGCAACACAAAAGGACCATGCACAACCGGGTAAAATACTTACCAAATATGGTTACGGGCTTAGACACTAATCCAACATTAATGACAAAAAAAGACCTTTAAAGTCTTTTGTAGTTGTTTGTTTGTGTGTTTTAGCTTATTTTACAGTTTCCATTCATAATCTTCTTTTAAAATAAAAGATTTCGGCCCCAAAAAGAAGTTTTATGTTTTTAGACCCTAAAATAAAGTTTTACAATAATTTACTTCCTCCACCTTTTGTAAAATAACTTTTAATTTGTTTTTTAGGAATAAAAACAAAAATAAATCACACTTGAACTCGTTTTTTGGTCTATGTTATTATATTTTATCGAAATTATTTTTTTAGTGCCATAGTTAGCATTACAAATAAAAGTTATGCGTAAAAAATAAGATATTTGTAAGTTTTGTTTGGTACCTGTTTGGTTGTTGATATGACCATGTTGATAGTAGAAATAAGTTTATCATTTTTATTAGTATTTTTTTTTCAAAAACCGTTGCCACCAAGTTTAAACCTAGAACTTGACATAACATATCATCCTTAGTTATCATTTCAAATAAAAGTTTATATATAAAAAATAATCTATTAATATGTTTTTTAGGTAATATTTTTGGTGGTTGATAGTAGAAATTTTTTACCCTTGGGAGAAGAAATCGAGTAGTGGCCCAAGACCCCTCAGAACCCGCACCAGGTCCACCCCTGCTTGTAGATGGGAGAGTATTATTATCTACGAGCTTGAAAATAATAGTACAACTAAAAAAACCATTGATATAAGTTGTATGATATAACCAAAGTACAAAATGTAACCCTATATATAACATGGCCGACGCGGTTCTACTAGGAATGTGAAAAAGTCCCGTTAGGATCCCAATTCCGTATAGGGGGTATTTGTTAAAAAAATTAGGGGTGGGGACAAGATTATCTCCCGTTTTATTTTATTTTATGTTATTTTTTTTTTGGGTGGGGTGGGGGGGGGGGGGTATGCAACCCCTGTCCCATTTGCCCCTCTTGATATCCCTGGGCTATACAAATCAACACAAGTGTATAATAACAAAGAAATGTAGTCATGAGTGACCTAATACAATTTCAATAACTACGATATGAAATATATAAAATCAATGTTTTATTTTTGGAAGAAATTGCTCAATGAAGGTGCATAATAGATTAAACCCACATTCATACAATTGTTAACGAGTAAATAAATTAATTTAAACTAAATATTCTTCAAAAAGATTATACATTCTCTTAGATCATGGATGATATATTTGTAAGATATATACGGTGTCCTTAGATTACTCTATAAAAGAGTTCTTATGGAGAAAGTGGAGACTCCAACATATATAAAGAGATATATCAAAACGAGCGTATAATACAAAACTAACTTATTTTCATATGAGAAATTGTTAGTAAAATCCCAATATTTTCGGAAAAGTTACACTTTAATTCCAAGTTTTTTTGATCATAAAAGTTCAAATTATTTCATTTTGGCCCAAACTAACAATTTTTTTTTTCTTTTAACAGGAAATGACATATTATCGTGTTTTTACAAATAATCGAGATTTTTATGTTATAAAAACTTTGTGTTAAAGTGTAACTTTTTCGAAAATATTAGTACTTTCCTGACAATTTCTCTTTTTATATTTGTCCCTTATAATATCTAACAAATTCAATGATTTGTATTTTGTAATAAAAAAACATCTAAAATGGTTACTTATGAACACCAGACAGTTAATTTATGATTTAAAAAAAAAACATATAAGAAGAAAACAAATGAAACATTAAAAACGTTGGCATGTTGTTTACATTGACATTTGTGGTTGTCTATTGCTACAACTAACACGACAAAATAAAGACTTTGAAGTCTTCCATAAGTCTACTCAACTATTGTTTGTATTTAAATTATTAATATTTTAGGTTAAGTTATATTTTTCATCTCTCTATTTTGTTGAAAATTATAAACTCCGGCATGACTAATTTTTTGTTTATTTTTGTCCCTCTCGAACTAGAAAAGTGTATATAAGAGCGGTAAAGTTTGTAAAATTGCTACTTTGTTTACATATTAAAGTGTTTATTAATATATTATTATTACAACTAAGTACGGACAATTTTCAAAGAGAGAATCATTACATCTATCTTAAACTAATCCGGAAGGATGGACAGTTAATCACGTACACGATTAAAACACAATATTTTTGTAGAACACTTCCAAAAAAAACCAGTTATATATATTTCAAACAACTAACTTATACAACCCAAAGTCTTCAATCTTAGTCACAAAGAGGTTTTGAACTTAATCAATTCAATAAATTAAGGCCACCTTTTTAACCATACTGATATGATATATTCAAAGGGGGCTCATCCCTTATTTTTCCACTTTTCACATATTAACTTATAAAGTTTTCAATATTGCCAATTGGCAGTTTGCCATCAAATTTATGACAAAGAAAGTAAAAAACCGACTAATTAAGGTAAAAGCAATACATACTGATCTTTTTTTTTCTTTCTTTCTTGTACTTGGGTCTATTTTTAAAAATCCCAATTTTTTTTTTCTTTGGCTCTATTAGTTGAATATTCAGCTCTTCCTTTTATTGGTTCCCCTTCACCCTTACCCACAGGCCACAGCCATGGTGATTATCTATGTATGTTTGTACATTGAAATTACTTCCTCTTGGTCTATATATAATGAACATTGCATGTCCATAAACAATTATAAAATAAAAACCCTTTTTAATCCATGGCTCCATACATGAATCACTTCAAGTTCTTGCAAACCATCTTCTTTCTATACGTGTTGGTGACAGTGAAGAATGTGACTGGATCATCATTAAGCCATGATGAAGAATGCTCAGCCTTGTTTCAGTTTAAGCAGAGCATAATTCATCAAGATGATGTTGCTTGTGGTGCTCATGGATCTCAAGTGTTTCATTCTTGGAACAATAGTTTTGATTGTTGTTCATGGGAAGGGGTGGCATGCAACCATGACCATGGTCATGTGATCGGCCTTGACTTGAGCGAGAGGTCTCTTTGTGGGCATATCAACGCCAACAGCACCCTCTTCAACCTTGTTCATCTTCAGAGACTCAACCTTTCTGGGAACGACTTTGGTGAATCTGAAATCCCTTCTGAGATTGGTCGTCTAAAGCAATTAAGAAGCCTCGATCTCTCTTATTCTGGATTTAGTGGCCAAATCCCATCTGAAATCTCGCAGTTGATTCAGTTGTCTTCTTTAGATCTGTCAATGAATTCACTAAGGCTTCACAATCCTAGCCTCAAGAACCTTGTGCAAAACTTAACAGGGCTTGAACAGCTCCATCTGTCGGGGGTTGATATCAGTTCTTCTGTACCTCATTTCTTGGCCAACTTTTCTTCTTTGAGGTCAATCAAGCTGAGAAACTGTTTCCTGCAGAATGAATTCCCTGGGGCCATACTTGAGTTACCTAAGTTGCAACTTCTTGATTTGGCATACAATACTGACCTCACAGGATCCTTTCCCGAATTTCGTAACAACAGCTTACTTGAAAAGGTGATACTACCTCTCACAGGTTTCTTTGGGATTATACCAGAATCCATAAGCCACCTCAAGCATTTGACAGTCTTGTCCCTTTATAATTGCTCTTTCTATGGGCGCATTCCACGTTCACTCTCTAACTTGACGCAACTCACTATCTTGGCTCTTGGTGAAAATCACTTCACAGGTTCAGTTCCTTCATTTGGAAGTCTTTTGAAACTCGATGTTTTGGAACTTACTGGTAACAGATTTGAGAAAGGACGCTTTCCCAATTGGCTTGGAAAGCTGACTAAACTTAGTGAACTCTATCTGTCTGATACGAACACAAACAGTACTGAAATCCCACTCTTTCTTGCCAACCTAACCAAACTTAATGTGTTAATTATGGAGGAAAATTCTCTTATTGGCCGTTTACCATCCTGGTTGTTCAACCTCACCCAACTAACATATTTAAATCTTCTGATGAATCAATTGCAAGGACCAATTCCAAACACATTTTCCAGCCTCAAAAGTCTTGAGTATCTTAACCTAGGGTCAAACAATTTCAGTGGTAGGGTAGAGCTCGACATGTTCCTAGGACTCAACAAACTTCAAACATTAGGCTTAGGTTATAACAGGATATCATTAGTAACCACCAACAACTACACCAATACCACTTTACCAGAATTGCATAAGTTAGGACTATCATCATGCAACTTGAAGGAATTTCCTGCCTTTTTGCACTTCCAAAATAAATTGAGATTCCTACTTCTTGACGTCAACAAAATTGATGGGCTGGTACCGGTGTGGATCTGGAACAACAGCCGGGAAACATTAGAGCTGATTAACCTTTCACACAACTCCATCACTGGCTTTGATCAGCAACCTCATTTTCTCCCATGGAGAATTTTAGAAGTATTTTTTATTGCCAACAATCAGCTACGAGGACAACTACCAATTCCACCACAATCCACAGTTGATTATCTAGTCTCACATAATAATCTGACAGGAGAAATACCACCATCGATATGTGAATTGAAATCTCTTCAATACTTAGATTTATCTTTTAACAACATGAGCGGAACACTTCCTTCATGTTTGGGCATCTTAAGCAATTCGTTAGTATATTTAGATCTGAGACGAAATAATTTCCAAGGCAAAATGATGAATGGTTTTATGCCTGGAAGCTTGCTGGAAACCTTGATTTGAGTGAAAATAGATTTACGAGTCAGCTGCCAAGATCATTGAGACATTGTACCAATTTAGAGTTTCTTTCTCTTGGAGATAACTCTTTTCATGACGTCTTTCCTTCTTGGCTGGGAACTCTATCCAACCTTCAGGTTTTGGTTCTGCGGTCCAACAAATTTTATGGTTCAATTCAAGGTTCCTCACAGTTCCCTAAGTTGCGGATCATAGACCTCTCTAACAACAATTTCAGTGGTCAGTTGCACCAAAACCACTTCCAAACATGGCATGCCATGAGCTCCAACCATCTTGGTGTTTCATCTGTTATGGAATCAAATATATCCTCTAAAAATGTCAATACACATTGGCCTTACACCGTGACATTAACACACAAAGGTGTCAGAACAGAGTACGATCAGATTTTAACCATAGTTATGTCCATTGATCTCTCTTGTAACCATTTTGAAGGAGAAATCCCAGCATCACTCCAACATCTTCAAGGGCTTCAATCGCTCAATCTTTCCAACAATCATTTTACTGGACGTATCTTGCCATCTTTAGGGAACCTAACAAATCTTGAAGCTTTGGATCTCTCTCGAAACGAACTATCCGGGGAAATTCCTCAAAAGTTGGTGCAACTCGGCTTCCTTTCCATCTTCAATGTGTCATTCAACCATCTTCAGGGGCGTATCCCACAAGGAAAACAGTTTGATACATTCGATAACAGCTCTTACATAGGGAATCCCCGACTGTATGGACGACCTTTATCCAAGGAAGGTCAAGATTTAAAGGTTCCAGGAGTTCAACCAACAAGCAATGTGTCCGAGTCTCTCTTCCCGAGTGAAAGAATTGATTGGATCTTTGTATTCTGTGGAGTTGGAAGCGGTCTGGTTGTTGGGGTTGTTATTGGAAACTTTCTATATGAAAGGTATAGTTATCGGTTCACAAAGAGGAAGGACAGATGGGTAAGGCCACTTCGTAACACGAGGAGAAACTAAGGTACAATATTGATTCTCGCAGCAATTTTTCAAGATAATAATTTGTTTATGTGTATGTAGTCTCAACCAAACGGAAAATGTTTTTTGTATATCATCCAAAAAACTATAATGCTTCTATATAATTTTTTAAATTAAACTAATCCTAACAACATCTCTGTGAGATTAACAGTCATACATCTCAACTTTGTATTATCAACAATTACTTGCCTTTTTTTTTTGTCAAATATGCATTTTAGCAAAGAAAGTCTTATTATCATATTTAAATTAAAGATATTAAAGAATAAATCATTTTAGTTTAGCTTGGATAAGTTACGTGTCAAGACCATTAGTTATGTGATGTCGGTCTAAGTTTTTAAACATGGTATTTATTTGTAATAAGTTCATCATAATAAATACGACAAGAATGTTAGTTTTGAGAGTTATGATATCGTAAAGTGGTTTGTATGTAATCAATATTATAACCATGGTTTTTCAGATGCTCATTTTACTATTGTCGGATGAAGTATTTTCTATAGATAGAAAGCCGTGAACTTACCAACAATGAACTTAACTTAACATGTATCTCAGGAGGTGTCGTAGCTTAAAGTTGAAAGTGTATGGAGAAGTTATAGAAGACCTTCAAGGAATTCCAGTTTGTTTTACCATGTAGTATATATGTGTATTTTATGTTTAAGCTTGTGCTTGTTTAAATTAGATTTCTTTGAGTAGACTTTCAATACAAGATTTTGATGTATCATACGGTTCGATTGTTTAAGTTTATTGTTTATGGTGGCATGATCATACACTCTTATGTAAGCTATTCAACCTCAACCTCAACCTCAGATTTGGGGTTGTGATAGTATGAAATTCATGTATATTATATATTTTCGAATAAAATAAGTGAACTTCATTGTTGGTATAAAATATAATAACTTTTTTAACATTTAATCAATGTTATTACTCTGACTACTTGAATTGAATAGTGATTTATGCACTCGCAATCTTCATATTCAATGAATGACCTGATTCGTCTTCATCCATTGACCTGAAGTAGAGCTCCCAAATTCCGTGGGTTCAAGTGCAGATACTATATGTAACTTACCATGTTTTCAATCACTATAAACATAACCAATTCTACATAAACTAAAAGAATGCACAACTATTGATTTGAGATAACAGATATATAGAATAGAAATGGAATCCATCCAAATAAACTAATACGAAAATTTGGTTGGGGAATCATACATAAAACAATGAAAACAGAACATAAGAAGCGACCTAGGCATTTCATCGAATACCTGGTGGGCGGTGGCCAGAACTTCATCCTGCAAATCCTCCTGGTATAATAAGTCTCCCCCCTTTTGCGAATTTCAAACCATAAGGCTGCTCAATCTGAGCCTCATACTCTATATAGTTGTCCTATTCTGCTGTCGTCAATTCTTCTGATTCATACAGATTTCTTCACGAGAGGAGAGGTGCTGGTAGGGTTGCAGTGATGCTCTGTCAGCAAATTGTGGCTGTGTGGGATAAAGAAGATGGTCAGGAGTAGCAGGAGGTGGATAATATTCCTACTCGCTGCTCAGACGACGGCGACTGCATCTTTTTGAAGGTGGTGTGTCGGCGGCAAACACCTCCTCAGCTCACAGAGTCAGGACACAGGTGTTGAGGTTCGAGTTTAGTTTGAAGGTTGTAATTTTGAATAATTGGTTATAAATTGTGTTGATGAATGTGTCTCGAATTTCGTCTTAGTTAGAAAATTTCAGAATACTTTTAGCTGATTAGGTAAGCTGTACGAACATCTAGAAACGATCAATACAATATACGAAACTTGTTGTATTTTGACAGTATTCTCATGAAGTCTAATATATGTTCACCATCTTCTTCCCACTCATGCCTCCCATCTCTTCACCATAATCCTACACCTTCCTTTCAATCCTGGCCTAACTATAAACCCTTCTCATCTTCACCCCTGTTTTCTCCACTTTCAATCCAATCCACTTTCACTTCACCCAAATCCTCCATTCCTGCTGTAACTCCAACTGAAGGATCAATCCCTGTCATCAACTTTGAGGATTTCGTGGAGAAAGATTGGTCATTTCTTGATGCTGATGATATATCTTCCAACCAAGTTTACAAACAAAACACTGACCAAATCATATCTTCTGGGAAAATTTCTGAGGATTCAAAGGTTCTAATTTCAACAGGATCAGAAGGGTTTGTTCATAAAGTGATTGATATACATTCTTGCAAACAATTAAAAACCATGTGTTTTATTCAACATAGATTTGACCCTCCTTTTCAAACTACTTCCACCCTATTTTAAATTATATTATTCAACATAGATTTGTTTTAATTGTTTCAACGTGTTTATTATTTTAATAATATTATGAATGTATTATAAACAATGCAAGTATAGTTTATATAATGATGAGTGTATGGGCTTGATTTAGTGAGTATGGTAGTCTTTAGGTAAATTAAGAGAGAATAGCAACCACAAATGATATGTGAATGGAAAGAAATAGATAGATTAGTATAGTAACAACTCAAGACCTATTAAGTTGTATACCGATGAAAACAATCCAAGACCTATTGGATTGAGTTCGTATCAAGTCAAGAACACGTCCCAACAAGATAATTTGAGAATTATAACAATAATTCAAAGTGAAAATAATGATTCTTTGATTAAAATTCGTGCATTTTACTTTTTCCATGCATAATTTGGCTTTATATGAAGCCTTTATTACAAATTTGGTGGTTACAAGCCAACCAACCAATTATTCATTAAAACTACTAAATAGAAATTAAGGTAACTCTTGAAAGAACACAAAAAAAAAAAAGGTCCATGAGACTCGTGAATGAAAAAAACGGCTATGCTTGCTTAAGGAGCCATAAGAAGCATTAAGGAGTCATCATAAGCATTAAAGTGTAACCCTAATCCACCAAAGAGTGTCAAAAACGGCTACGAGGCTTTATGAAGCAAATAGTAACGTTTTTAGCACTTATGAAGCCTTAAAAATGTTGCCCTAGTCTTCATGCAACCTTAATTCAATTTGTGGGTTACCATGCACAACCCAACCATTGAGCCCAAACCACCTTCTAGCCCACTAGTAATCACTAATCCATCACATTTTGGGCTTTCATGATCCATGCATGGATCATCCCCTCCCCTTTTGAAAGGAATTGACCTCAATTCATCAAGTCCATCATCATCAAGATAAGGTGAAAGATCTCCCACATTAAAGGTAGCATGCACTCCATGCTCTCCTCCTAAATCTACCTTGTAAGCATTATCATTGACACGTGACACCACTTTATAAGGACCTTCGGCTCTTGGCATTAACTTGCTTTTCCTTTTGTTAGGAAAACGTTCTTTCCTCATATGCACCCACACCAAGTCACCATCTTGAAAGACACGTGGTTTCCTATGCTTGTTTGACTTCTGTTTATACAACTCATTCACAGCTTCAATCTTCTCACGAACTTGTTGGTGTAGTTTCATCATGGCCTTCAACTTGTCATTAGCATCCTTGTGAACCAATTCATCCTTTGGCAATGGAATCAAATCCAAAGGCATGTAAGGATTCACACCATACACCACCTCAAAAGGAGAGTGACCTGTAGCATAAGTAGGAGAACGATTATAGGCAAATTCAGCATGTGCAAGTTTGATGTCCCAATCTTTTTGAGTTTTGCTAACCAGCCCTCTCAACAAAGCACCCAAAGTTCTATTAGTAACCTCTGTTTGCCCATCCGTTTGTGGATGATGGGATGTACTAAAAAGTAACTTAGTACCCACTTTCCTCCATAAAGTGTTCCAAAAGTAACTTAGAAATTTGGAATCCCTATCAGAAACAATTGTTTTAGGAATACCATGCAAACGAACCACCTCTTTAAAATACAAATCAGTCACATTAGATGCATCATTGGTTTTATGACATGGCACAAAGTGAGCCATTTTTGAAAACCTATCCACCACCACCATAATGGAATCCTTCCCCCTTTGAGTTCTAGGCAAAGCCATAATGAAATCCATGGATACATCTTCCCAAGGACGAATAGGAACCGGCAAAGGAGTGTAAACACCATGCTTGAAAGTTGTTTTCGCCATATGACATGTAACACACTTGCCCACTATGTTGGTTACATCCCCCAACATCTTCGGCCAAAAGAAATGTTCTTTAAGCACCTACAAAGTTTTGGTAATGCCAAAATGACCAGCCAAACCACCGCCATGAGCTTCACGAATCAACAACTCCCGTATTGCATGTTTTGGGACACAAAGGCAAATTGCCTTTGAATAGAAAGCCATCTTGAATCACAAATTCACCATTAGGACCACCTGCACATTTCAAAAACATATCTCCAAAGTCCATATCATATTGATAATGGTCCTTTAGAGTTTCAAATCCCAAGAAACGAACATCCAAAGTCACCAATAATGAGTAACGCCTCGAGAGTGCATCAGCCACCACATTGCTTTTGCCATCCTTGTATTTGCATGAAAAATGAAAGGATTGCAAGAACTCCACCCACTTTGCATGTCTTGTGCTCAACTTTTGTTGCCCATTGATGTACTTCAAGGATTCATGATCAGAATGCAAAATAAAATGATTTGCACGCAAATAATGACTCCAATGATCTAAAGCACGAACAATAGCATAAAACTCCTTATCATAAGTGCAATAATTCAAACGAGCACCACCCAACTTTTCAGAAAAATAAGCAATAGGACGTTTGGATTGGATCAAAACAGCCCCAATACCAACTCCACTTGCATCACACTCCACTTCAAATGGTTGAGAAAAATCTGGAAGAGCTAAAATAGGAGCATCACACAATAATGCCTTGAGTTTCTCAAATGCCTTTTGAGCTTCTTCTCCCCATGCAAAGACTCCTTTCTTCAAACAACCTGTCATGGGACTTGCAATGGTGCTAAAATCACGAACAAATCTTCTATAGAAAGAAGCAAGACCATGAAATGATCTAACTTCAGAAATGTTAGTAGGAATAGGCCATGACTGATTGCTTCAGTTTTGGATGGGTCTACGGACACGCCATTTTTTGAAACCACAAAACCAAAAATGCCACTTCTTCCACTAAAAACGAACATTTTTCTTGCTTTCCATAGAGTTTTTAGCTCTAAGCGTCTCGAAAACCTGTTTTAAGTGCACCAAATGATCCTCCAAGCTCTTGCTATATACCAAGATATCATCAAGGTACACAACCACAAACCTGCCCAAAAAAGATTTTAGCACTTCATTCATTAGTCGCATGAAAGTGCTAGGTGCGTTAGTTAGACCGAAAGGCATCATGGTCCATTCATACAAGCCATGTTTAGTTTTAAAGGCTGTTTTCCATTCATCCCCTTCACGCATACGAATTTGATGGTAACCACTTCTCAAATCAATTTTTGAGAACACAATAGAACCATGCAACTCGTCCAACAAATCATCAACTCTAGGAATAGGAAATCGGTATTTTATGGTGATGTTATTAACAGCCCTACTATCAACACACATCCTCCAAGAACCATCTTTTTTTGGAACCAACAAAACTGGAACAACACAAGGACTTAGGCTTTCACGAACATAACCCATTTTCATGAGTTCATCAATTTGTTTTTGCAACTCTTTTGTCACCTCCGGATTACATCTATAGGCAGCTTTATTAGGCAAAGGAGCACCCGGAATAAGGTCAATTTGGTGTTCGATACCGCGGATTGGAGGCAAACCCGGTGGTAATTCGCTTGGAAACACATCTTGAAACTCCAAAAGCAAATCAGCAATAGTGTTTTCTCCATGCACCATCTTCTCCACCTTTGCATGCTCTTTGGCCACAAGCATGTAAATAACATCACCTTTGTCAAGAACTTGCTCCACCTCCCTTTCACTAGCAAACATAGAAATATTAGGTTTTTTTACTTGTTTAGAATTCATGGACCTTATGGCCGTTGGGGACATGGGTTTTAACACAATTTTTTTATTATTGTGTTTCAACTCATATTCATTGCTCCTCCCTCTATGTAACACGTACCTATCAAATTGCCAAGGACGCCCCAACAAAATATGACATGCATCCATAGGAATAACATCACACAACACTTCATCTTCAAAAGACCCCATCGTTAGACCAACTCTAACCTATTTTGTCACCTTTATTTTGCTTCCATCATCCGACCAATGAAGAACATATGGTTTTGGGTGGTTTGTTGTAGACAAACCCAATTTGGTCACCATTTCATTAGAAGCAACATTAGTACAACTTCCACCATCAATAATCAAACTACACCACTTGTCTCTAACCAAACATTTGGTGTGAAACAATTGGTCTCGTTGATCCACATCAGCCACGGTTTGAACCCCTTGAGTTTTAAGGGTTCTAAGCACCAAAACTGTATCATACACCGGTGCTTCATACTCTACCTCCTCCTCTTCTTCTCTTCTTGTTGTGTATCATAAAAAATACCCGTCAACCTCTCTTCCTCCAACTCTTCACGACATTCAATGGCCTCCCTTAAAGTCACCACCCTTTTGTTTGGACAAGCATTTTGGTAATGACCAAAACCTTGACACTTGAAACATCTAATTTTCGCCAAACTAGTTTCTTTGGTACCACTAGTAAGTTTAGGAGCAACGGGAACACTACTAGAACCAGAAGGAGTAGAAACAGAATTTTGTCTATTGCTAGACTCGGGCTTGGACCACGACTTTGACTTGGGACTTTCGAGACTTGAACTTGAACTCCCACCATAACGTGCTTTGGTTTGCCCCTCCAACTTCAAACACAAACCACAAAGAGTTCCAAAATCAGCATAAGGATATAACTCCACAACATTGGCAATGTTGTAGTTCAACCCTTTTAGAAAATGAGTCATTTTTTGTTCTTCAATTTCTTCAATATCCCCCATCAAGGACAACTTCTCAAATTCATCAATGTATTCTCCAACACTCATTTTTCATTGCCTCAAATCAGCAATCTTCTTGTAAGTGGCCATTTTATGAGTAGAAGGAACATATCTCTTTCTTAGCTTTCGTTTTAGAGAAAGCCAAGAACAAATTTTTTCTTTGCCTTCACGGGTTCTCTTGGCCTTAAGCCCTTCAAACCACAATGAAGCACCACCAATTAGCTTGAGAATGGCATACTTGCAGCTTTTTTCGTCATCCACTTCTTTGTACTCGAACATTCTTTCAATCTTCCTTTCCCACTCCAAGTAGCGTTCAGGATCAGTTCCACCAACAAATTCAGGCAATTCAGACACCTTGAATTCTTCCACAACCCTATGTTCACCACGGCGGGGTTTCCTTCGATTTCCACCTTCTTGGA